TGTGTGTGTATATATATATATATATTTATTTTTCCTTTTCTGTGCTGTTAAATGTCCTGTGACAGATAAATCAAAATTCAGAACAATAACATTGAAGACGTTACCACATTTTTTGTAACTTTAACAATTAAAACTTTATTGGAATGATACATGTTGCAAAATATTATTCTGTGTATTTTTTTTTTTTAACATACTCGATGTGTCCTACGGGTATCCGTCAACTTCTCCAGAAGGTAAAATAATTAAGACTGTTAAAGGCAGAGAATATACAGTATTGTTTCCCGAGAAGGTACAATAAACTACACCATCACCATACCCATGTCGGGAGGAAAGAGACTCCTGTTATTGAAAATACACTTAGAAAATATGCAAAAGTAAATCAAATGTTTTCTTCATGATTTTTTTTAAAAAGCAAATAGAAGAGTGTAGGAAACTGGATGTGTACACAAAGGCAAACTGTATAATGGACTGATGCGCGCGCGCGCGCGAGCACACACACACACACACACACAAAAAGATGACTGACGATGTGAATGAACAGACTGAAGGATGTGTGACACCCATGTATCTGAAAGGAAGGGACGGGACCCAGACATAGAGGGACGACATATGAATACCGCCAAAAATGTCACATTTTTCCATGCTCTGACAAAAAAAAAAAAAAGAAGGTGTAATGAAAGGTGCATTTGAGCCATAATTTCCCAAAAAGTCACTGTTTTAAAACGGTGCTGCTTTAAACCGAACCCTTCCATGTCACGATCGAGCTCAAAGATGAGGAAAAAAGCTCACGTGAAGCCAACCTGTACATTATAACTCCGTACACCAGTTGAGGATAGTCTTACGTTGCTTCTAGCATCACGAGACCAGCGCAGAAGAGCCTGCTGGGTAATCTAAACGTACAGACGCATTCTTTAAACACTGATTGTTTTGTTCTCCAGCTATTCAGACCAAGAGATGGAGCTGTTTCTCCTGTTTGTACAACCATTTTATGACAAAGTCTCCAGAAATGGGGCAAGAAAATGTCCCAGCAAAAGCTAGGCATGCAGGAAGAAGAATGAGGGAGAGAAAATCAAACCTACAATCATGTTTTGTGAAATATAAACTCATGCCCTTTGCTCGTCTATGTTTCTAAAGCTACATCAGCACCCGCATGATCAAAAACTGACCCAATCTGGTGTGTTTTGGCTGTGAATCTGACAGAATACATTGAAACGACATTTCCCGAGAGGGAAAAGAACAGTAATTTGATCTCGTACTGCAATTTAAATGGCATCAAAGCCGTTCAGTTTCCAATCGATACTTCTGTTATTAAAAGAGTTGTTTGAAATACCAATTTTAACCTGGCACCAATCTGTAGTTCGCACACATTCAACAAAATTAAGTTACATTACTTATCGTAACAAACGGAAATAACAAACCAAAACAAACAAACCAAAAATCGACTTTGCACGATTTTGAAATCGGCACCTAAAGAACAGCCGACTCCTGAAGGACTGAGCTATAAGCGATGGTGGGCATCTGTTTTAAAGGTGAAGCGTGTCAATTCTGCGCCACTAGCAGCAGCAAAAAAAAAAAAAAAAAAATCACAAAAATAACGACTTTGATCAATTCTAATATATGTCCTTTCTGTTACTGAAACGGACTGCGGTTCAGTTTGGTGCCACTATTGGAGCCAGAAGTTACACTTCACCTTTACAATCGAATTAAATATTCATCGACGCAAAACTTTAAGCATAACGAAATAAAATCTACGCAACACACTACGCATTACTGCACACTTCTGGAAACTAAACAACAACAACACTGGCTTAAAATACACTAAATGATCTAGAGAATGACGAATGATGATCCAAATCAACAATCTTTACACTAATCGGCTGATTCTGCCTGATCTTAGAGCACTGTAGCCAATTAATATGCGATGACAAAATTGAAGGATGGTAGTGTGATGCTTGAAATCCAAATGAGAAATGGGTGACGCGTCAAACAAATAGCCAGAACTCTTGAACGGTGTTAGTTGGTTTGATATGGTATTGGGTGCCAATAGGTGCACAGGAAGTAAACATGATGTGACAGGGTGGAGAACTACAGAGCAAGGACACCTTTGCTAATTAAAAAAAATAATAATTCTCTGGAGATGCCAAAATTCAGTACCAGTAAGTAACCTCTATATCTCTGGAAAAACAAAAAAAGAAGAAGTCACAAATATACCCATGCCAGCCAGTCACAGAGAAGTGACCGAATCTCTGCCCAATGGACCCTGGCTACCAAAAAAAATATATACAAACAAAATTGGTAATAATATTAACAGAATTACATCTTTAGATTAAATGACCAAAATCTTTGAGACTATGGAAATCCAGTTCTTCCAAATAGATAAAGTAGCAGGCTTTGCGTAATTAGTCCGTGCAGAAGACAGTTCCAGATATAGTATTTCCAATAAGGAATGAATCCAGTGCTTAGCAGAAAGGTCATGAGGGGGTTTCCAGCGTTGAACTAGTAATTTCTTTGCCGCAGTCAAAGCTGCTAGCCAAAATTTCCGTTCTTTCTCACTTATAGGAAATTGAGAATTATCATTCAACAATAAAATAACAGGATCTTTGGGAAAAGGAATGTTGATAACCTTGTATAAAACATCAAGCACAATGTCCCAAAATTTTTGCACATCTGGACAGTCCCATAAGCATATGTATCAAGGTGTCAAGGCAACCCGGTCCACAAAATATGCAATATGGATGGGGTGATATACCCATAGCATAACGTATACGTGTAGTTAAATATGCTCTCTGAATAATTTTAAAGTGAATGAATTTGTGATTAGAGTTTGAGGACGCGTGAAATGTATTATCCCACACTGTGTCCCATTCAATGCTTCTATTATAGGGAGTCAAATCTGATAACCACGCTCCAGCTTTAGGGAAATTATCTGTATTAAGATTTGAAAAGCAAAGGTAAAAATAAGAAGCCTCTGCTAAATTAATTAATGTAAATGTAAAATACGCTTGGTTATCTAACGCACACACACACAAGGAAAAAACAAACAAACATACAAGCCCATAGGTCTGACTCCAAGTCAGCATTTTTGGTTTTATTTATATACTCGTAGTTTTTATAAAAATTTTGGAATAACTTTTTTTTTCAGTTTAATTTTTTGTAATTTTGTTATGCGCCTTTGTGACTTTTATTTGGTTTTGTTCTTTTTAACTATTTAGTTTTTTTTTTACAAATTTTATTTTACAAATATTAATGTTTTATTTATTTACAGTTAGTATTTTTAGTGCTTCAATGTAAACTTATTTAATTTAGTTGTCAAGGTAACATTTCTCATTTATGTTTAAAGTTTTAATTAATGTTTTAATGGTTTCAGTTAACTATAATAACCCTGCTCTGTTACCAAAACCACAAATAAAAGCATTAAAAGACACGAGACGTGCTTCAGTATTGATTTTGTTTATTATTTTGTAGTATTAATATTTTGAATCAGCTTTCATATATATGTGCGTGTATGTGTGTGTGTGTATCTTAAATGTAAATATTTATTACATTTGTTATTACGTTTTTTTATATTTTTATTTAGCTTTATTTTTATTTTAGTTTCAGACAGTCGCCTAAGCAAGTTTTTCCATCTAATATTTCAATTTTATTTCAAGCAATGAAACAACACTAGTTTAGATTATAACAGCACCACTGACACGTGTGTGCAGCAGAGGTCTGCACGGGCTTTAAACTGAAGTCTGAACCCGGCCCGTACCCGAGATGGTCCGACCCGAGCGGCACAGTTAAATTTAGAGTTAAATTTATTTATTTTTTTCCCACAACGAATAGCCAATTTTTTTGCACACGATTCCATGCAACGGTCAGTAAACAAATAGCCTACATGTAAAGAAACAGAATCATTAAGGCTTCATTAAAGAATCATTAAACACTTACCAGTTATGAAAGTTTATGAACATCAGGTGCAGCGGTCACATAAATTCTGCCGAGTTTTTGAATGGTTGTAGACCTATACGACAAGACGATAATTCTTCCCATCGTGCAAATTATGGTCATTTTCGTCAGTTAAGGCTCGTTAGCATTCGGCCTGCCTTAAATCAGACATTCAAAATCATCGCATTTTTTGAATAAAATTAATTAGGCCTATATCATTTATTTGA